ATGGTTAGTATCTGATAAAATAACACCTGCCAGGAGTTTGTATGACTTTAAATGTCTATCCACAACCATATTAATTATGACCTCGAATGATTCACCACACACCTTGCTAATTGCCTTCAGCACCCTTCGCAATACAGCAAAGTTTTTTCTCAAAAGCCGTGGAAAGAATAATGGAGAACAGTAAAGAATAATAGGTAATATGCAAGGATTGACGCATTGTAAGAGTAAATGACGAATAGTCCCAAGAGCATGCAATCTCTTTATGTCGTAAGCCAAGCGGAAAACGTTCTTCGGTAACAGATCAGAGGAAAAGGTAACACCAAGATAAATGACCTTCCACACTATGTTAGTCAAAGTCTCCAATGGTACAGGCATTATGGGACGCCAGAGTGGTGTTTAAATGCCGTTCACGTATCATGCTAAAGTTAACAGCTTGAAATTTAGACGGATTAAGTATGAGACCATTACCAACGGACCAACAATCAATACGAGACAAAAACCCATTCATTTCTATGGGATGTAAAGAGGAAGAGATAGGCATACATACAGTGAGATCATCCGCATACTACACAGAAGTGTTTTCTGTGGAAGATGACAAATCATGCAGAAAAAAAGCGAAAACTAAGAGGTGAAAGAACGGTTCTTTGTGGAACACTTTCATGAGACAGTAGAGACTTTGAACACTTTCCTGAAAAAATACAATGTATTGTTCCCTTCCAGAGAGGTAGGAACATAGCCAACTGGTTATCCAGCTGTCAGTGTTGATGCTAATTAACTTGTTAAATAAACGTTGTTTTGGCATAGAACTTAAAGCAGAAGAATAGTTCAGAAAAATGCGATGTTTTTTTTCTTTCGATTCACACAGATTACAAATGATTAAATAAGAAACGGACTTGATTTCTTTTAAAGTCGTGCTCATGACATTTGATTGTATTGTAGTGTCAGTCATTATTTTAAGCCTATAATATATCTTATTCTAGTTTTTGAACAAACCAATCTATTCATTCTACTTCAGTCATATTTTGAACATTTTAATTATTCGCTTATCAGTCTTGACTGTTTTTATATGAGCGTATATGTGCGTACACTTCATATCCCATGTCTCATCACATGAATGTAGTTTATTTTGTCTGCCTATAAATATTGAGTAACGCCTAGCTAAAAATAATAATAATAATAATAATAAAAATGAGTTGGCTTACCAGCCATCTCCACCGTGGGTTGTTTTGCTTTGCCCTATTTCATTCGCTTCATATATAAAATATATGTGTTAAAAAGTCCATTCTAGTTAATTGACTTATCTAAATCCGTTATTGACTAACGCGATTAAAGTCGATGATTATATACGAGGATAGGTGTGTAGTGACTCACATTCATCACGAGAACACGACTGGTTTAATAAAAACAATTATTCTTATAACCAACTGTACCAGTGTTTGTTTTAATGTGCTTTAGTTTGACTGTGCTAATGACAGCTATTTTCTGCTTCCATTCTTTTACTTACACTTTTGATTGTAACTTCGCGCGAATTCGGTTACGTTCTGTAATCAAGCTTGTATCCTGGCACGATCTCGGTATCCTTTTGATGCCACGAGATTGCCAGCGAATATATCTCGATTTGGTTGATTAACTGTCTTCTGATATTTGGCTTCTCGGGGATTTTATGGATTTATTTGGTTACGTTCAACCTTCGCCTTCTGATTTATTTGGCACGTGTTTCTTTGTAGCGGTGTTCATAGTTAACCTCAACTCGACACTAAGCTACAGGTGATAACTAATATTCATACGATCTAAATGGAGTCAGATCAACGGGCCACTAAAGTATCGTCATTTACTTCGTACCAACTACTTCAAGCTTTTCCTTTGTTAACCTTGACTTTCGGACGAATCTACTTATTTATACTATCTAATTTTTCTTGTGAGAGTATTGCTATCTGCACATCATATAGTTACATTCACCTTAGCAACAGTGTCTGGGGTATATGGACTTCCGGTGGGTGTTAGTATACCTGTCTTGACAGTGCGGGACTCATTACGGTTACGTGCAACAATGGTTCAGACAGGGGGTATCTCCTCTGTGTGTGTATCGAAATTGGGAATCTTATCCTGTCAATCGAAGGTACTGGCAACTATAATTATTTTTTCTCTTTATCTGATGTCAGACTTACTGGGTGGGCATCATCACTCGGCAATTTATTCATGATAGAAAGAAACACAAAAGCTTCATCTTGTAGAATCATTGTTGTGCGGCGACATTCTATACACACGCTCAGTGAGGTCGATTTACAGCAACGTTCGTGTGCGGCCAGTGATAACTTGGTACATATTTTGTGAGATCATCTTCCCCCATTCAACCTCATCCATACCTTTTTAGTGTGGCGTCGAGTCGTGGCCGACTGCGATCACCACTACAAAAAGGTTGCGTACCAGATATCAGAAGGCGATTGGAGGTTGTAGCGAGATATATTTATTGGCGATCTCGTGGTATCAAAAGAGTGCCGAAATCGTGCCAAAAAAAGTACAAGCGGAATCACTGAGCAAACGTAAGTGCATGCAAAGTCACAATCAACGAAAGGAAGAATGTCTTTAGTACAGTTAAACAAACAAGTACAGTAAAACAATCACTGGTACAATTGGTTATAATAATAATTGTTTCCATTGAATCAATCGCGTTCTCCTGATAAACGTACGTCAATACACCTTCTTCAACAAGGATGAAGCCTAATAAGCGGTTCCAGTCCCTTCCACGGATATTTTAATATCGATTGTCCACGACCCTAATAGATAGCTTCACGTTGTTTTTTATTCAATCCTGCATTATGTTCCCTATGCGGATGCATGTGGAGTCCAGGTGGTAAATGGCGCTTAACGGTACGAAATGCCTCGAAGTTAGCAGATGTCATTTTGAAAAAAATCGAGATGCTGCCTTTGTTGAGCGAGGTCTAGTGTTACTGATGATTTTGGATGATAACTGACTGACTTTTGGATCATCGTACCACATTTTGTGTCAAGATGTATACAAAAAGAGATAGTTATAAATCTTTCTTTGCCCTGGTAACATTAAGCCCCCTTTTTTATTTGTATTTTTTTCATTACATCATTCATTACTCCAACTCCTTCTGAAGTTTAAATTACGTCCTTTATAACTGACCAATTTCAGTTCATATCTCTCTTTATTACCATTAATCTACTTTCTGTCACTTCATTACATAATAATCTAATAAGTTTTTAATTCCATGAGTTCTAATTACTATTTCAATGTGCTGAAACCTTCCCTCCCAAACTTTATCTATTTGAAACGAAAATTGTATGACCTCGTGACATCTTATGACACCTTATGACATCATGATACATATGTTCATCCTTAATCACCCTCTTAAGTACAAGTATGTCAATATCTGTAAAAACGTCGATTTTCAAATACTTAGGTTGTAATCAGCTGATGACAACCTAACGAAATAAAACGAATTCATATTATTCTGCACCAATCTATGCTCTTGCTCTCTATAAAATATTAAAGGGAAATAGGTGTACGAAATTTCTTGACTATCGTATAATGCATTACAGGAGTCCGTGCTTTTGGAGGTGACTTGTTTAAAACTTTTCCTTCCTCAAAAATCTTCTTTCGAGATTTCTTTGAGGTGTTCCTTCCAAGATCAGACTCCGAGTATGGTACATACAATGATATTCCCCCATTATCTGATAGTTGTTTGGTTCACTTCATATCCGGCTGATCAACTTTAAATGGTTTAATTACCCTTTTTCTCAGGCTATGGGATGTACTAGTCGGGTCCCTTGGGGTTCAGTTTCCACGACCTCTTTGCTTTCTAATTTATACAAACGACCTTACTCAGCAGGAATTATTTTATTTTACTTCTTGTTGATGATCTGAAACTTTAAAGAGATGTTTGCAGTCAAGATGGCAAGCTCGCTCTTAAGGGGGATCTGACTGGAATTCGAAGTTGGGTGGATAACAATGAACTTAACTTCAACGCTTCAGGGAGTAAAGTAGACTATCTGAGATATTTCGCAAACTAAAAACTTAATTTACGTAACTCGCCTTCAAAAATATCTCAGATCAAAGAGTATTTATATGTCTTAGGGTCCTATGATTTTACGCAAACTACGACAAAAATGCCGTTCGGACACACTTTGGACTGGTGACGTTGGAGCGTCACTTCGGACACTTTTATGTTAGAATCTTCTACTTAATCTCCAATAATTTTATTCAAACCCATTTAGAGTATGGAAGTACAGCGCTTCCTCTCTCACTCCGAAAGAATAAGAATATACTGGAACGTATCAAAGTGAGAGTCACGAAACTTAAAAATTTAGGAAGAGCTCTTCAAATAACTTAATCTCTTATTATTAGAGTGTGGGGGCTCATTTACGAACTCTTAAGGGCTTAAACATCCTAAATAATCCTGGACATCCCTTAAAATACATACGTATTATCAGTCCTAAGGTAAATCTTGGAGGCAACACGTAGCAAGTTGTACTATAAACACACATGCCTTTTGAGCAGAGTCAAGTCCGTCAATCTGCCGGAAGTCCTTCAAAAGGGAATTTGACATATTCTAAAAATCTCTAGACTGTATTTCACCATAATTGCCAAATATTTCTGTTTTCAGCGCTCATTATTACTGGGTTCTTAAAAGAAGGCCTCTTTGTTCCACTGCAGCTAGTTGCGGATACCAGTTGTGAGAAAGCCTCTCCCAATATGATCCCCTGCTACTAGACACGGAAGCCTGTTAAGCGAAAGGTTCTTCTATTCCGTACACAACCATTTGAACCATTTGAATGTTTCCTGCACATTTGAACAATATAAGTCACCATTATTTTTAAAAAGCACCCATGTATTTTCACTTCGGAGAAGTGACCAGTCGGTACAGTTCTAAAGCAGACCCCAATAATCCATTATTTCTTAACTTTTGTATGACGAGTATAGAAACTGAAATATCTGTCCAAAGACGTTGGCGACTTTGAACATTGGACAGCTTATTTCATCTTAATTTGAGTAGGCCGTTTGGTTGTTTGTGACACGTATGATGGTGAGGGATTGTGTCTTAGTCTGGTTTTTAACAATCCACTTGTCCCTGGTGACGGCATGGTATTTACCAGGGATATCACCGATCAATTATTGTCCACCACCGGTTGATAGTGAAAGTAACTGCAAAGTATGTGTCAGCATGTTTTTACTTTATTTTTAGAGTGAGATTACTTTACTCGTTAATAAGTTGACTTCAAAGAAGTCGTTTATCTCTTTCCGCTATGACTCGTAAGTCCGCACCACAAGTTTTTTTTACTTACCTATTTTCTTGTTTTCTTTTCAACCGAATATTAATTAGTATTTGGTTTCACGCAACTGTATTCGGTCCGTGATTGAGTTCATGATTTAGCTAAGTTTTTAAAAGTCAAATGCACAAGGCATCTAACGGTGAGAGTTTCCTAGCTGTGACTTTTTATGTGGAGCAAAATAGTGATTTTCGCGTCTTAATTTACTCATTCTAATTGCAGCTAGATCGATCGTAACAGGTCACTGTGTTTGTAACTATTGATTTCGATGAAGGGATGATGTGCAGTTGATATTCATACAGTCGTAAACTGCTGTTACGAAAGGTATTCGCCTTGTCAGCTCAAAAATACATTGTGCTTGATGCATTTGACATTGGTCAGTTGACAATGGTGAATTACTCAACGACGAACCTTCGGGAACTCTTATGCTGTTAGTGGTTTTCGGAGCATCTAACCAGCAACCGAAAACTAAGTAGTAGATACTGACTGTTTATTCTTGCAAGTACGAAACATGTTCGGTCAACCTGATAGATTTCCTAAAACCGTAGTATTTCTCTACTAGAATTCAGTGTTTACATTTTGTTCAGGTCGTTTATCTGCGATTTAGGATTATTTATAATAGGAGAATGATAAGAGACTATTGGAAGTTATTTGATACACATAGTTACTTTTATTATCTTAAAGAAAGTAAGAACGAAAATTGGTGCAGAATTATTTATTTGGATAATTTCAACTTCGTATAGATGTTAATGGATACTGAGTGAACATCTGAGACTGAAGTCTGTCATTTGAAGTCACATTTCTTGCAATGTAGTCCCTGCGTATAGGTGGCAGTCATAATACTGTATATATGTGGGTTCAATTTTTGCTAACTGATGAGACTTGGAATTTGTCGCTAGATTTCCTGGGACTGCACTAACAAGTTACGAGCGTCTATTTTTCCGAATTTTTTGAGTTCACTAGTGCAACAGTACTTCTTTAGGTTCACTCGAAATCCCACCTTGTCGTCCAACTGACGATGATATGAGTTCTAATCAGGTTGTTAAACCTTGTCTTTAAACGAATAATCTCCATTATTAGTTAGCAAAATATTTCGCATTTTTGCATATCATTCTCATATCTGACTGTGTAAACTCAACCCTAAGACTCTTTGTACCACCTCTCACTGTCATATCTAAACCGGTAATAACGCATAATATGAGCTTCAAAAAAGGATCATAAGTTTGGACGGATATATCATCACTATTCTTGAGGGACCAGGTTTTCCATGTAGGTTTATTTTTTATACGCTTATGCTAGCAGCTAGTTATCATGTCTTACCCACAAATGCTTTCATTCATTTTACTCCCAGATATGCAGAATCCGTCTTCTAATACTCCAGATCAGTGTTGTGTAGATTCTATTTCTGTTGTTGAAGAACAGACTACCTCCAAGATAAATTGACTCATCTCTCCGTTTTATCAAACTTAAAGTATCTACTGTTACATTTTACATCTAAACTAATTTTGTGGAGTTGTGACTTTTCCATAATATCCTATATTTTATGTCACAATCAACAAACAAACGGTATTTCTGGGTAGGCTTTCAAAGTATGGATAGTCAGATAATAAGTGTTTGTGCGGTGCACCTTTAGCTTGTGTGTTTTAAGTTGTGATATTTCAAACATTTAGTCCCAAGCTTTATCACTAAGATATTCCAGCAGATTACTGAAAGTCCATTGTTTGATGGATGCACTGCTTTTAATACTTGGTAATCACTTGTAATATAAAAATATATGTCCACCATATACGTACAAAGGGACTTCACCAACTGATACGTTTGCGAAACAACGGCGATAACTCTGAAGACAACCGTAGTGTATACAACAACTTTCCTCTCTTCTAATTCCAGCTACTGCAAAAGACATTTTGTAAGAGATTTACTAAGATACCAAATAAGATTAATTTACATTCACGTTAATTCGATTACGTATCGATTGATTTCAATGATTATTAATTACAGAACGTATCGACCAAGCAGTCATCACTTAAACGAAAAATAACATTGAGTTAATTAGTACGATGAAACCCTTTAGAAATCAATAAACCAACTTCATACGAAACGAATTAATACACATTGGAATGAAATAAAAGCAGAGGCATAAAGTTCACTCTAAATGTGAATTTTAAAATTGATTTGGTTGATCCTAGCATCTCTAACGCTGCCTTATCAATAGTTCATGCGTTTCGTAGTTCGTGACCATGTTTATTTATTTCTAGACAACCGTCTTAGTATACGATTAACAGGTTTTGAATGTTTTGGAGCATATACTCATAAGAGACACGTATGTACTTCGGAGAGACTTATCAGTCTAAAATGTTCGTCTTAACGAAGCTCCGCTTTGTAGAAATTTAAAAGTATTTTGTAGGATATCTTCATAAACTTATCCCGAAGATAATACTACAAACCAAGTGGGGATATCAACCTTGTGAAATTATGATTGGACTGTAAATATAATGGGATTATCAAAGCATGATCGTAGTGATATATTGTTTATTATTCAAAGTAACCCTGGGTTGTGCCGCTTGTTATTTGATAACATTTGATTTATTCGATTGCAGCCTAAAACAGAACTTCATATTTTGGCATTTTGAACGAAGTGTTGTTAGCTGTCATCTTATCCAGGGGTTTACTCATCGGAATCCTATCGGTTGTAAATCACGTCATAGCGGTACAAACATGTATCAATCCAAGTTGTCACATTTCATTTCAGCATAATGTTAAGTTAAGAACGACCTATTTTTGTGTTTTTACGTCATGGTTCACAATGGCAGTGAATTTTTTCTTCATCGGTAGTTCTGTTGATATATCTGACTACAAATATTTCGGTGATGGGCTGAAAAAAACCAATTACTAATTGCTAAAATCAACAGCACTAGTCTGTTGAGTGTACATCATGGTTTATGTAACTAACCCGGAACTCACTACTTCCTTGCGTATTTATCTTGTTGGATTCCCTTTAATTAAAGATAAATTCTTATTTCTGGACTTTCATTTATAGAATAAGCGAGGATTCACTAGATAAACACAAATGCGCCTTATACCTAAATCAGGATCTTCATAGTCAATATGCACATAGAAATCATTTTTTGCCTCAATTTTTTTCAGATAAGGTCAAGCAATTTTAAGACTGCTTTGGTAAGCGGTGACCAAATTCGATGCTTGCAGTGGATGAAACACCAAGAATATTTTCCCGTGATAGTATGCAGATGTTTTAGAAAATTTAAACTATTCTGTGTGTACATCGCCAACATACGGTTCATTAGAGAGTTTAGCTAGAGTTTTTGTTCAGATGTAAACAGTAAAATTTTGAAGCCTGGTTTTGTGTAGGAGTCCATGTTTCAGGAACCTCATCAGCGCTCGTCTTATAAAGCTGTTTGTTGTTTCTCGCGTTTCATTATATTTTCTAGTCGGACTGTTGATTTTATCTTTTACTACGTTTCAATTTTAGGTTTGATTTCTGCAGTTTGTCTTCAGAGCCATCTCCTGTCGAAAATCTCGGTCAGGTGGTCTTTGGAGAACGTCTATCACCATCGAGTTATGAGGTGATAATATTTTTATAGTGATGGATTCACTTTATCCTAAAATCTTAGTTTTTCTTTAAGCTGTTATTTTTGTCTAGAATTCCGACTTTTCTTAGATTAACAGCACGTTAGATAGTATGTAAGTTCTTCGTGATCATGCACCAGTAAATTCATATTAGAATTTTGCGTAACTGTGCACTCTATGAATCTCCACTCTCGCTACTAGTACAAAGGAAAACGTATGACCAATGAATGTGGTAAATATGATCATTTTTAGTTTTTGGGTTCTATCTCAATAACTAAGCACTTGTTTCTTTAATAGGCTTTGAGCTATACCATTTGTGTGAAGACAAAATATAGAAGTTCTCATAGTGAATTAAAGGAGTGTAATTTGACCCCGACGCACGATGCTTGAAAATAGAGTACTTGTAAAAATGAATCGTAGTCCCACTATCGGTTTTGAACTAGACGTAAAAATAGAAAACGCACGTAGTTGTTGCCTCACTGCTGTAGTTATTGCAATACACGCGTGTTAACAAACGAAGAACATAATAAAATTACTAGTAGTAGATTATTGTATGTCATCAACGTAAGGGTAAGACCAAATGGTACCTTATGAGGATTTCCGAAGCAAATGTGCTGGAATAAACTTCAGCAAGCCAGCTACTTCTTGTTGCTTGTACGGTGGATGACAATATATCAGTCAGTCAGCTACAACGTAGGAATAGGCACATATATGCATCGGTCCAAGTTGCCATACCTCATTAGCATAACAAGATGAACACAAAATTCATGGAAGTAGTTACTTGAATGGTAGTAATATATAAAAGAAGGATTGCATATAAGAATATAATACAGGGAGAAAGAAGTAGTTTGTAGAAATTTTAATTTCACGGTTTGAGGGAAGTCAAACAGTGTATCCACCTACACCATTGTGATCGATTTTGAAGCATGTCACCCAGAATCTCCAACCATTGGTTACGATAGTCACACGGACCCCAACCAAATTGTCTGCATCTTTACAAAACATAGTTGTCAAACATGTATGAGGTTTGAATGCAAAAATATCGTCCACCCTATCAACCCTTCTAATCCTGGAAGCAACACAAATATCTTCGGCGTAAGTTGGGAATGCCCTATCCAAGATCATTCTCCATATTAGCCGTCTTCTGTGGAAGTCTATTACCACGCTGATTAACTTCATCGCAATGTATTTGCAATTAGATATCTCATCCGGCCGTCTTCTGCAAGATTTATGACGTGATTAGGAAATTAGTAAAACCATCAAATATAACATACTCGTTGCAACTATCCAAAGTGAATACCCAGTCATATTTTTAAAATCCAGCTATTGTGATCTACAACTTACCAAGCAAGATATACTTATAAATAATATGCCATACCCAACATCTATATTACTTACACTGGGAACTCTAGTTTTAAATGCCCTTTTAAAGACTTTGGCAAGTAAGCTTATCTAAAGGATTCTCACTGTACTTATTGTGGTAAATCCATATGTGCATACAGTACGTTTTATAAGACAAGTGGTTTCTTACATAGTTATTCAAAGACTACAATTAAGTTCCTAAGTCACCTGCCAGGGACTGTCTTAAGGCTGCATTTCAATTTAAGGTTTGCATTAATCTGTTATGAGTACACTGATTATCATTGTTGTCATGCATAGTCTTTTGGAAGAGAGCAGTAAAACTCACTATGTCCTCAAATAATACCAGTGGAACTACAGCAGTGACTTCAAAAGGAGAATCATTTCTGATCCAACTAGTAACTGGAGTTAAATATTTTTGAATATATGACATTATTAGATGTGTTGTCATATTCAGTTAATATTAAAGATCATAAACACTTGAAAGTATCCATAGTCTTTATGTGTAAAACATTAATTCCCACATGGGGGCTATCGGATTTTAGGTAGTTAACATATGCAGTACTACATACATACGTCGGCTACTGAGCCACATTTCCTTGCAATAGTTAACCTAAATTCACTTATCTAGTAATCAACAGGGATTGTGTGTTGGAAACTCAAGATAATCTTTTTTCCCATGTTAAAAGTTTCGAACTTTTTTTCTTACATTTTAGATCATATTTGGCAAAGAAGAGACATGTAAAGTCCTTTGTTCGAAAAAATATTCACATACTGACTACAAGAAATATTTATTTATTACCAAGGCTATTATGATGGGCTATGAGCACCATTGGTAAGGTATTTAAATGTTTTTTCTACGATACTATCACTGTGAAATTACACTTGTCACTAATCCTTACATAAATTGTGTGACTTAAAGCTAAATATACAAATTTTTGCTTGAGTTGACTGTAAATCTCTCCCAAGATATTGCGTTTTATGATTCTAATATTTGAATCCCATTCCTAGTCACATAGTTGTCATTCAAATTGTTGTACAATAAAAGTTTGTCTTATTTTTCCGTTAGGATCAGTGCCTACTGCAAATATATATAGCCTTCTGTCGATAATTTAGTTTTTTGTCATTTACACGAGCTAACACACTCAACAACCGGTTAATAGAAATTTTATTGCTCAATAAAATACAGTTCAGACAAAAAGTGGTACTCCTACATTTACAAGTATTATAGAAGGAATACTTCGTGATCATAATTCTCAATTGTTTATTTTTGCAGCTGACATTTAACTGTAAATTTTAATTAAAAACATGAATGTTGGCATTCATTAATCTATATCTATTCGATCATTACTTGATACCGTGTTCCATGCACATACAACAAAACCTGTTTTCATTTCAGGGTTATAGATAACTTACCAGTTACAGTTTGTGTTCAAACTGTAGGCGGAAAAAAGTATTGTAAAACTTCTATTCCACTTGGATGCTTTGAAGGTAATCAGGATAAATTGGATTCTGTGTGTTTAGGAATAGTAAGTTACGGTTTTAGTTACTCACTTGTTGTGTAATGATTTAAATTTTTGCTATGGATTTATCTTATAATTATATTATTACCATATATTAAATAGCCATGCATGTTTACCTTAGCGTGCTATTTTGATTGTTTTAAAATAGGTGAGATAGTTGTACCATTTAACTATTTTTATTGGATGTCGTGAGGTATTTCGTAATTTAATATGAGACGTTAATGGAAACGAAAGTAAAATGACAAAGCACGCATTCAAACCAACATTTAACACTGTTGAGAGTCCACAAATATCCGTCAACAAAGTCTCTACAGGCCCAAAACTAGTCTGGAAACGTTTTATCCAATCACTTTTGAATAGAAGCTTCTCAAAAATATGAAAGAAAACAAAGGATTGTGTTGGGTTGGTGATATCGCTTACATATTTAGTGCGTTTCCGGGAGCTTTCGGTGTAAAAGTCATAAGAAACCTTATAAATACTTTTTTGATGTACATAGATTAACCTTAGAGCAAGGCTTTTACTCATATAGAAGCGGATGGAAGTTCAGTAACAACCATTCAAGCAGCTGACGTATCAAACATCTATCTATTTTCGCCATAATAAGGAGTTTTATGTATCCAGGTAATGGCTTGTGAGATGCTAGAATCTTATTAAATGGAAAAAGTATTAGAATGTGAATTAGTTAATTATGGTATTTTTACTTGTTATATGATTACCTATCCACAACAGACATCTTGTTACTCAACATTTAATCTCTCTTGACTCTTTTGAACATTCTTAAAGACATTTCACAAGTTTATTCCACTGATTGCTTTTCTTCCTCTTTTCTGTCTCGAGGTTTTAGAATTGACAGTAACCTAAAAAATCTAATTATTTCGACTGTTCTGTTACTTGATGCGCAATTAAGATCTAAGTTTTTACACTTTCAGTCACCATTTATGCAGTGTAAAAATTTCGGTGTAGAACTGTTTGGTAAGCTTAGGATGGCAGTCTGTGGATAGACAAGTTGGAGACTAACAAGCGATCTTCACTGTGTAAGATTATTGTGTTAGTTTCTTCATTTGATCCTTCTGAAATCAAGCGTTTCTGCATTATAGTTGGTGCCAATTGTATGGATTGTATAAGAATGGATGCCTTTCGTTTTTCATGGGAATTATATACATATATTTATTACAACATTAAGTTACAGCTTATAATATTTTCAACCTTTTACCGTTTTCACTCTGGATAGTATTCAATGTAATGCATAGAAGAAGCTCAGAAGATTTTTCGTTATCAATTGTATCACCTTTATTTTCATTCGTATACCGGATTCAATAGAATTCTTCAAGCCTAGCAAAAAAATAAATGTCACCAGATGATGGTTTGCAGAAAGAGCATTAGTGTTCATTATTATTAATACTCATATTGCACTCACTAATTTGTTGCTCATTAGTGTATAAATTCTTTTCAGTTTGCTCATCTATTGTGATATTCGTTAAGGTTGTCCGCTTTCTCCATTTTTATTTAACTTTGTAATATTACTTACGCCTGTTACTCCTCGTGAAGGAGCATAGGCCACCCACCAGCACTCTCCATCCAACCATGTCCTGGGCAATCCTTTCCAGCTCTCTCCAGTTGTCATTCGTCCTTTTCATATCTAATTCTATTTCCTGACGTAATGTGTTCTTTGGCCTTCCTCTGTCCCGCTTCCCTTCAGGATTCAAAGTCAGGGCTTGCCTCGTGGTGCAGTTTGATGATTTGTGTAATGTATGTCCTATCCATTTCCGTCGTCTTTTCCTAATTTCATCTTCAGCTGGAAGCTGATTTGTTCTCTCCCAGAGAAGGCTGTTGCTGATGGTATCCGGCCAATGGATGTTGAGTATCTTGCATAGACAACTGTTTATAAGTACTTGTACGCTTTTGATGATGGTTGTAGTAGTTCTCCAAGTTTCAGCTCCGTAAAGTTATTTAACTGTAGTAATGCTGTCCTTGTTTGCTAATCCTTGCGTTTACATCTGCATCAGATCCTACACATTCATCAATGATGCTACCCAGGTACGTGAAAGACCCCACCTCTTCCGAAAATTTACCATCAAGCGTGATTGGGTTGGTGCTCACCGTGTTGTATTTGAGGGACTTAGTTTCCCCCTTATGTATGTTGAGGCCTACTGATGCAGAAACTGCTGCTATACTGTTTGTCTTTTTCTGCATTTGTTCGTGTGTATGGGATGGGAGGGCTAGGTCACCTGCAAAATCCAAATCGTCTAATTGGTTCTGAGCTGTCCATTGTATTCCGTGTTTTCCCTCGGATGTCAAGGTTTTCATAATTCAGTCGACCACCAGACGAAAGAGGAAGTGGGAGAGTAGACAGCCTTGTCTGAATCCGGTCGTTATTTGGTATGCACCTGTCAGCTGTCCTCCATGCACGACATTGTACTGTAGTCCGTCGTATGAGTTCCGGATAATGTTGACAATCTTCTCAGGGACTCGATAGTGTCGAAGAAGTTTCCATAATGTTCTCCTATCTACACTGTCAAACGCCTTTTCATAATCAATGAAGTTGATGTATAGTGACGAGTTCCACTCAACTGATTGTTCGACGATGATCCGTAGTGTCGCAATTCGGTCTGTACACGACCGATCCTTACGGAATCCAGCCTGTTGATCTCGAAGTTGAGCGTCTACTGCGTCTTTCATCCGTTTCAGCAACCCTGTTAAAGACTTTCCCTTGTACTGACAGTAGTGTGATGCTTCTTTATTTTTCACATTTGCTCAGATTTCTTGTCTTTGGAATCTTGATGTGGTGTCCTTCTTCCCAGTCCATCGGCACTTGTTCCTCCTCACAAATTTTCTTGAGTAGAAGGTGAAGCATGTTTGTAGTTACTTCGATGTCTGACTTCAGTACTTCAGCTGTTATATTGTCAGGTCCTGCTGCTTTCCCACTCTTGATTTGTCTGATGGCCATCCTGATTTCTTCCATCGTTGGTGGATTGACATCTATAGGAAGATCTGTGTGTGCTGCCTCGATATCCGGTGGATTCATTGGAGCCAGCCTATTGAAAAGTTCCTCAAAGTACTCGACTAATCTGTTCCGCTGTTCTTGATTTTCAGTGATTGGCCTGCTCTCTTTGTCCTTGACCGGTCTCTCTGGTCTACTATATTCCCCTGCTAGTTTCTTCGTTGTATCATAGAGCTTTTTCGTATTTTCTTCCTCTGCAGCTTTTTCCACCGTCGTTGCTAGTTCTTCCACGTATTTCTGTTTATCGGCTTTAATGCTCTTCTTCACTTGCTTGTTTGCTTCTGTGTTTTCGGCTTGTGCCTTGACTTTCTCTGCTCGTGTTCGGCTGTTGTTAATTGTTGTCTTCTTCTTTTCTTTGATCTTGTCCAGTGTTTCTATAGAGGTCCATTCCTTATGATGATGCTTCTTGAGGCCAGGACCTCTTCACACGTCCAAGTTAATGCTTCTTTGATACCTTTCCAGTTGTCTTCCATAGTAGTTTCTTCTTCCTTCAGTAGATCTTGTAAGGCTTGGAACCTATTGTTGAGAGCTATCTTGAATTCGTTGAGTTTGTTAGTATCTCGAAGGAAGGCTGTATTGAACCTTTGTAGTGCTGTTTGTCCAGTTGTCCAGTTCTTCTTTAGCTTCAGTTTTAAATTGGCCACAACTAGATGGTGATCTGAAGCTATGTCAACTTCTCTCCTGGTTTTCACATCTTCCATTATCCTTCGGAATTTTTTATTGATGCAAATATGATGTATCTGGTTCTCTGTGGTGTGATCCGGTGAGATCCATGTAGCTTTGTGCATACGTTTGTGTGAAAATATTGTGCCTCCTATGACCGATTTGTTAAATGCACACAGATTTGCAAATCTTTCTCTATTTTCGTTTATCTCACCCAGTCCATGTCGTCCAATGATATCTTCATATCCGGTGTTGTCTATTTCGACTTGGGCGTTTATATCACTCATCAGAATGGTGAGGTCCTTTCTTGGGCACTTCTGTATGACTGAATGCAGCCTATCGTAGAACTGATCTTTATCGTCGTCATTGCTGTCCTTTGTTGGGTGCATAACACTGAATAACATTCATTGTCATTCCCTCCTTTGTTTTCAATGATGCTTTGATGATTCTGGATCTGTGAGACTCCTATCCCACAAGTGCGTTTCGTGTTGCTTTGGACAGCATTAGAGAAACTCCCTGAGTGTGCGGAGCATCTTCCTCTTCAGGACGGGAGTATAGTAACATCTCTCCCGTATTTAGCCTTTGTTGTTTAGCTTGGATCCAATGGGTTCCGCTGATTCCCAGTACTGCCAGTTTGTATCTCCTCATTTCCATTGCTATTTGACTGGTCTTCCCGGTCTCCCACATTGTTCGGACGTTCCATGTATCTATAAAAATTGTTACTCTGGTTGTAAGAAGGGACATCGGCCTCGTGGCTTCCGAAGGAACTCGGCTTTCATCATGAGGAATCATAGTTCTAAATAAAGGCCTTTTAACTCCCAGGGCAGAGTTTACGTGGTCTGAATTGTTTTTTCTGGTTAGCGTTTTTTAATGAGTTAGTTTTCTACTGGATGGGGTCGCTAACCCCATGTCCAACCCTCCTCTTTACCTGGGCTTGGGACCGGCAGTAACTCTGGAAGTGCTACAGGCGTTTTTGTCACATACATTGTGTCATAAATCACACTTATCGTCTGACTTTTCAGGGGTTAGTCTCCTGTCAGGAGATTCACTTGTTGACCTAGAGTACTCAAGTGATATGGTTCTATCTGATGAAGACGCTGAAAAATTACAAGATCTTATGAATGCCTAAAGTAACAATGTGAGCATGTTTGTAGTGTGATTTTCTCTCACTAAATACAAAATATTGCTTCAGAATTTGTGTACGTCAATGTCTGAATTTGATGATAAGGAATGAAGTAGTTGAGCGTGTCAACCGCCTCGCTTATCTTATGAGTCTCAACCCTACTGGATTAGTGTCTGACGAAGTCTCGGTTCACCTTTGACGGCTTATATCACTTGAGGTGTAAGGGAGTTATTCATTTACCCAATACGGAACGGTCTTGTTGCACAGCACTTCACTCCGTTCTACTTTATGGCTTTAAAATTTAGTTTTTGAGACAATATTCGTAGGTTATAAGTATTTAGTCATAGGCGTTTTCGAAACATCGCTCGTATATTTTGGGACCACTTGGTGAGCAATGCTGAGGTTAAACGTAGGGTACTGGATAAAGATGGTAAGTCGGGTGATACAGTAGTACGTCTTCACCAACTGAGATGGTTTGAACATATTTTGCTTGTGCCTGCCCACCACCAACCTCGGCGGGCGATGTTATCTTTAGGAGGAGTCTGAAACAAGGTTAGTGGTGGCCAACTCAAGATTTGGCATCAGTCCGTGAAGTGTTTGACTGTTGGGCTGAGCCATGTAGATAGATGAAGATTACCTGTTTGGGATCCGCCTGATTATTATAACCAATGGCTAAAAACTTTAGTCGACATGCATTAGAATCGTTTGCAATAGCTTAGGTGCATTCGCTCTTTGTTTTCCTTTAGATTCCAAGCTTTTTCATTCCTACTAAATTTATTTGTGAATTATTTCACTAATTTAAGTTTTCTCGAATTATATCTTCGATGTCTTGTCTTTTCTATTACCACTAGTACTGTTACTACCTTTATTACTCCGGAATTCGCCCTGAAAACTTGTAATGGGATGTGAAAGCATAAACCTGTGCACACATGCGGCAGGTTGTACGTTGCATCTAAATGATTGATTTACTGTGATAAATTAAACCTTAATACCCAAAGTCAGGTTAACCTTACTCCTTCAGCTATCACAAAAGTTTTAGCTTTGTAAATAATAGTTCCAGTTTTTTGTCTGGAAACACATTTTTGTACTTAGTAACGACACGGAATATTTCGTTGCAATGTGCATTTTTGTCTCAATATTATCAGTGCAAAATCAAACGTATCTACAGACAGTATACGATCGTAAGAAAATATCAGGATTTAGTTGAAAAAATTCTCAACTTGTTAATTGAAGTTCGAAATCGTTGTTGGGTTAAATTTTTCCGTCTTTAAGATGAAGTGGTGATACAAGACACAGTGTTTGTAAACATATTAGGATAATTTAATATCTGATAGGTAAAGATTTACTTTGTTACAAGAGTAACCGCCACTCGTCGGCAGGCTGTGACTGCGCCAGCACTAAAATTCATTGTCATGTTTTCACAGGAGAATACGTTTACTGGTTGTCATCCGCTAAGTAAACGTATTTGATGGTTAGAAAATTGAGACGATATTGATTGTTCCATAAGTATTAAGCATCGAATTATTTTCTACATTTCATCATCTGATTTCTTTTTTTGCTTATACTTGGTTTCTTTTACTGGTTTTAGTATTGCTGTATTCAGTTTCTTACTCTCCCTTCAGTTGATTTCGTCTTATTGTGGTGATTTGAAATGTTATGATTCATACGTGCATTACATTTATATCGGCTACTTTGAGTAGATTAACAATATTAGTTTAACCATCTTTACATTAAGATTTCCGACTGACTTAACGAAATCCATTCTTACAACCATTTCAGTTGACAAAACCTAATACCCCTCTTATCTTTAAGAAGCTGAGCTTGAGGTATTGGGCATTTAATATAACTTCGATTATGTTTTATTGGTGCTTACAAAATGATTTTCATATATAATATATATTCTCTTTTCCAAACAGCCTTTGGCCAAACATCGTACGATCTTGTTGAATCATATCAGTCTGCACATTGTCTATCATCCAGTTAAAGATTCATGGAGTAGGGCAGGAAATGTTAAAGCTGGACGTATTCTGTCAGTGATTGCCAGTCCTAGTAGGTAAGATATAAGGCTACTTATTATAAGTTGTTGTGATTTTATGTTTTGCACTTGAAGAAACCTCAGAAAAAATCTCATTTTCAAATTAAAATCTGATATTAATTTTGATCTTCGTTTTCCTCATTACTGTATTCTAATTATCAAGTGTTCCATCCGTTTTATTTATGAAAGCTTATTTATGAATGTATGGTTTATAAAATATTTGAACTGAGCTCTTTTTTCAAAGGACAGATTGTACTGTCCTTGTGATTCAGAAAAGATAAGTCGTTGAATGATCTTGTATGGAAGTGATTATCTCTTGCGATCACAGAATAGCATCACTATTGTCGTAGACCCGCTATTCTTTCATGTATTATCACCGACTACATGAAACTGTATATAATGTATTATCATTACTAAACCTTGTGATTAATTGTAAGTTGTTTATTGAATACATCTATTACTTGAGTTTTTATCCATTAAGTCACAGGTTCAGACTTCTATCCACGTTCGTTTTGGATACTCAATGTGTATCTCTAATCCTCATATGACCAGAGTATGGCTAAGAGTTGAGTGCACGAATTATGTATTAACTGAGTCAGAACGTCTGTTGCTCGATGGTTTTGCATTTTTGAAGTTTAAACGTTGGACAGGGAAAGTCAATAGGTATGGAAGACCCACCTAGAGGAGTCGGAAAACTATCCAAACCAATGGTGCTCATGGGCTCCAAAATCCTGAAGGGACAAACAGCGTATGGTACTATATTTGCTCACCGTCTACTATGGAACTGCATCTCCTAACATCACTCCACTGCCTTGTGGATTAGACTTATCGGTTAAAGGCTCGGGATGTTCCTCCTCAAGAAAACTGTCTGCTTCGGTTTGGGCAACTGCACAGTATGCTAGTCCACACACATTCAATGATTTGTGTGGCGTATATTGTGGTATCATTTGTAACAGTATTTATGTGTTTAAGTAATCTGGCCAACATTTTCAGTCTGACGTTCATATATTTAAGTTTTTAATATCATTCATTTGTCACAGTAATTATAAAGATGATGGCAATGTATTTCCGAATTTCACTCAAAAAATTACGCTATGCACTTCCAGGATAAGATATTAATCGGAGATTCTATCTCACCCGACTCACCTGATTTTTCCTTTCAATGCTACTTCACATGGCTTAACAATGACTTCTTATTGGTGTTGCGAAATACCAAGAAATAAACACTAATGAAGTTACTTGTGAATAAATTGAATGTCATATTGATTAAATCCAATCTCAGTTTGTCAGAAATCTTCTATTGGTCAGGCTTAATCTGTCAAATTTTCAACCTACTGAAATGTAATTGTGTACACTTGCTTTTCTTCATGTTTTTTATATTTCCTATTCTTGAAATGGATATCAGTGGATACTTTTTGATTTACAGCTGCGTTATGTTCGTAATCTTCTCACATACCTTGTTTTATTTATTTATTTATTTTATAGTATTGCTCATCCAAACAATGCACCGGATTGTACATCAAAGCAGTCATTAATACTCCCGTCTGATTTAAAGGATGAACTTAAAATAACTTACACATACAGCGTAACATTCGAAGTAAGTGGATTTATCAAAAATTTTATATGTATGTCTTATAAAGCATAGTGTGACATAATGATACCGACTGACCTCCAGTCACAGGTTTGCAGGTTCGAACCCCATTTAGTCCATTTACTTTAATTTAAACAATTTTCCAGTGTTACTGATAATAATCATACAATATGTGTACAGGTTAAAGCCGAGTACAAAAACTTGTACATAGTTAACAAGTCACACTTGAAGAAAGACGCTAAAAGTAGACACGACAAAATGTCTGAAAGCACATATAGTGAATAGTGATAAACTTTGTTTTGTTCATTTAATATTACTTTCTTGAAATATTTTAGGTTACGTTTTAACATTTCATAAAACATCAAGTCATTTAATTTTTACAACTTCATGAACTGATTCTATTTTAAGTTCTATTCCAACAGACTCGATTAGCGCAAGTGCGTACCACTCATGGAAGTCCATTCTGTAATGTGGTTTCACCTACTAATGATCTGTTTCTACTTTCTTCAGATACATTATTTAATTTTTCTAGTTATATTTTAAGTATGTGTATTTGCATGTTTAATCCAGTGTTTGTGGAGATTGGTTTTAATTTAAAGGTAGAGATATGTATTTCGTTACAGTTTATTATTGTTTGTGCTAAATAATATCTTCCAGGACTAAGTTCATTCTTTCATGTTCTTCCTCATTCAATATTATGTTCCAGCCTAGCGGTCTAAAGGGAGTACCGTGAGAACTGGGAGTCCTGGTTAGGGACTGATGACGAGTCCTGTACTAAGATTAGAGAACTGCTCACCGCTTTCTAGTTTTCGATGGTCCTCCAGATAATAATTCTATTACGAAAATTATCCTCAAATTTAACTGATCTATCTCATTGTTGATTTCACTTAAACTATAGGAGGATCTAACGCGTAAATGGTCATCTCGTTGGGATTATATTTTGGACACAATGCCTCAAAGTAACATTCAGTGGTTATCTATTTTGAATTCATGTGTGTTGACATTATTCCTTTCTGGTCTTCTTGCAACCATTCTTCTGCGTACACTACGTCGTGATATTGCTCGTTACACAGAACTTGAAAGCGCTGTAAGTGATATTTGTCCTGTCGTCCTTGCATATTTGGCCTCTTTTGTGCATACTATCCCATGTTGTATTTTCTACATTATTTAGACCGCTGTTCAAGAGGAATCTGGCTGGAAATTAGTTCACGGTGATGTATTTCGTCCGCCTAACTGGGGTATGCTTTTCTCAGTTGTTGTCGGCTCAGGAGTTCAAATCTTTCAAATGTTATTGGTCACCCTATTTTTTGCATGTCTTGGATTTTTAAGTCCAGCCAATCGTGGTGCGTTGATGACTTGTGCTTTGGCTGTATTCGCTTGTTTAGGAGCTTCTTCAGGTAAAGTCATAATATATTCTCAAGTATTCATTGTTTTTTTTTAAAAAAAACAACTTATAGTTGTCAGTCACTTTTCAGTATAAAATGTTATAAGTTAAACGATAATATTTATGAACTGTGTTTACTTGATCGATTTGTACATGTAAGGTAGTTAGTTATGTATAGGCGATGACTTGCAAGTTCGACAATTACTGTATTTAGTTTGGTTTGATCAGTCGCTTAGACATATCACCAGCTGTTACAGACTCTATTACTCATATCAGGTTACACAAATATTTACTTGGTAAACGGATATGCCTGTTTCTATATGTCACTGTTGATTTTGTCGAATAGCTAGCGGACTTGTACTTGGTACTGGAAACCCAGAATCCAACGACGCGTCGGGAAAACACAAAAACTGCTGATATGGATTTATTTGACCCCGGAAGTAAATCGAAAGGATACATGAATACACTCCTTTATTTATATATTGATGTTGTTCACACTTGATGTTAAGTTAAAAATGATCACACTTAAGGGAAAAACAGAGTTACTGCAAAAACCCAAGCTACGAATTTCACAAGGATTAAATGCAAAGATTGTCATACTGAAATGAATCAGTGTTATAATGAAATAAATATCATACTGAAAATAAAACAAATATTACAAATAACAAAGATTATTATCATCTTATCGAATTCAAGACGGAAGTAATGCTGAACAGAAATCACAATCAGTTAAATATACGATTTTGCATTGTATTTTTTCATATTACTTATTGCAAATTGCTCTGCTGAATCTAACTTCAAGATAAAATAGTACAAGCGGAACGACTAAACATCTGACAGGTGTTAACATTTATTCCCGAACAGTGTTCATTTATCATTGAATTCTAAGCTGTCCATCGAAAAGTGAACCAACGTTATGAATGGTCTGAAACATCCATCCGTGTATGTTAGCTGTTCAGTAAATATGCGAGTTGAGATTATAAAAGCGTCAATTTGGGGCATATTAACCTTACCTACTTCAAAATATTCCCGTTTGTCGCAATACAATCACTTTTTCGGGTTAATTTTTAACTGACTCCGCATGCAGCCAGTTTTATAACTTCATATATAAAGGTAATCATTTGATCTATAGTTAAATTTGTGCTAAACGTACAATATACGAATTCCAACGCAGAATTATTTATCTATTTATTTGAGCACATAAATATTGGTACAAGGGGGCACCGAATGCATATGCTCCACGCAAGTCACTTGATTTATGTGTGAGCGGTGATATTGCCCGGGTACCCAGACAGAAGCAGGTGGTTTTCTTACGGAGCCACATCCGGAGCCTTCAACCTAAAGGTCTAATCCACAAGGCAGTGGAGCAACGTCAGGAAATACAGTCCCATAGTAGCCGGTGGCCAACGATTGGTTCATACTCCATTTGTCCCATCAGGATCCTGAAGCCCATGTGCACCACTGGTTTAGAATCAGGGTTCTCCAACTACCCTTAGTTGGCCCTCCGTGTCTACCAACTCGGTTAGAGCTCCGGACATTCGATTTTCGTCCTCTCAATTCCGTAAACAACACCCATGCCATGAGAAGTCAGTGGGATTTTCCTGGTAGTGACTCTATACACGTGGCTATGTGAGAACATTTTGGGGAGAGTGGACTCTCCTCTACCACAGTCGTGCTGGAGCATTTGGGGTAGAATTAATAGGAATATGATAATCTTTTAGTTAACCCACGTTTATGCTGTCCGTTCCAAGAGAGATAACTAAATGCGTTCATAGTTGAGTAACGGCCTGTGACAGTTCTCTCTATTCCTATTGTTTAAAATACTCGTGGAGTTCTTCAAAAGTTTGGCTCTTAATCTCGCTCACTGTATTACACTTTATCATCGAGTATTGTTCTGGAATGGAATTCATATACGATTTCTATGTATCCGTCAGTCAGTCAGTTACAATTTAGTACCAGACACATATATGCATCGGCCCAAGTTGCCATACCTCATTAGCATAACAAGATGAACACAAAATTCATGGAAGTAGTTACTTGAATGGTAGTAATATATAAAAGAAGGATTGCATATAAGAATATAATACAGGAAGAAAGAAGTAGTTTGTAGAAATTTTAATTTCACGGTTTGAGGGAAGTCAAACAGTGTATCCGCCTACACCATTGTGATCGATTTTGAAGCATGTCACCCAGAATCTCCAACCATTGGTTACGATAGTCACACGGACCCCAACCAAGTAGTTTGCATCTACCAACATGGCTCAGACTAGAAGTTAGTGACTTCAAGCACTGATGCCACGTTTTGGTTTGGCCGCCATTAACTTCCTTCCAACCGTCTGCAATATTAGTCAGCGTTGCGCGACGTGGTAGTCGATGTTCAGTCATAAGTAACACTTGATCCAACAATCTCAGTCGATGAAGATTCACCACCTCATCGACTGATTTGCCATCATTCCCTAATATACAGCGTCTAACTTCACTATTACTTACGTTGTGATTCAAGCAGATGCGAGCAATATTTCTAAGACATCTATGATCAAATACTAGTAACATACGATTATCTTCTACTCTTTATGGCCACGTTTCGCAGCCGTAAAGTAGAACAGAGCGAACCACTGCACAGTTTACTCGTCCATTAATTGATAGACGGATATCTCGCCTTCGCCATAGGTGACATAAGTTGGCAAAAGCCAAACGAGCTTTCTGAATCCGTGCAAAGATTTTGTTAGACACCAACCCATTAGGGTTGGTCAAACTTCCAAGTGAAGTTTTCGACGCGTTCGACTACTTTACTCCTTATCTTTAGTTCAGATGTTGACGCAAGCCAGTTCTGAAGTAACACTTTGCATTTAGAGGGGGAGAAACGCATTTCAAGCATTGTTTCTAAGTGCTTGTCATGTGGACAAATTATTTGGCTGCTGAAAAGAACAAGAGGTTATACAGCATGAATGTTTTCACCGGTACAAGTGCTCGATGGTTATCTAGACCATCTATCATTTTTACAGCCTTCATGATGTTCACTGAAGTTTTTAATCCACGTTAAAAATCTGTTTCCTGCAATATGTTATCATAAGATATTTCGTGAAATCATTGAGTCACTATCCCATTTTATTCATTTTACTCTTTTATTTTACCTGTAGGTTATGCTTCAGCTCGAATCTACAAATTTTTCGGCGGTTTGCGATGGAAAACTAATGTTATACTAACTGCAACAGTTTGTCCTGCCTTAGTTTTTTCAATGTTTCTTATTTTGAATGTCGCACTTTGGATTTTGGATAGTGCAACTGCTACTCCATTTGGCACTATAGTGGCACTTTTAGCACTTTGGCTTTGTGTTAGTCTACCCTTGTGTTTTCTTGGAGCATTCTTCGGTTTCAGGAAGCCAGTAAGTGTGGAGTAGTTCGATTATTTGTTACTCAATGTATAACCACTGACGAATATTCGTAAAATTTGAAGAAAATGAAATCCTTTCACTAAGTTTTAGTGTGATTTTGATCATGGCCAAAAATATAATTTACGACTCTCGTCTCGTTGCCCTGCTTTGGCCAGTGTACCTATGCCTTAGTGCCTATGTTCCAACCGACACTCGTACGTTGTACCAATCACTTCAAATGTTAGCGCAATATCCATTAAGCTACGTAGTTCAGTTGGCCACTAACTTGATCCGACGTTTAACATATTTATTATTTGTAAGTGGCTTATCCTTTCGGTAGTTAATATTTTGTTTGAATTTTGATCAGTCCTCTGTTTTAAGCTGTTAATCAGTGATCGATTGTTAATGATTTTTTAACTTCAAACAGTTTCTAAAGAAAGTTTAGTTCTGATGTTTCGATATTTGATCTCAAAATGTGCTTATATTCTATTACTACGGAATGTAAGGAGCGGGAACTCAGTAGTTAGGGCTTTCAACTTCCTGCCACTTAACCGATTGGTGGTTTAAACTCCTCTCTACCTACTTCGGCTCAGACAACTGAGGCTTCGCAATGGAAATGTTGCGCTAAGCCAATTACATAAATTATTTTTCCTTGGCAAATGAGGGGAAATTCGATTTAGAGGCTAAAGGTCTTGGGTCCTATGCAACGGTGACAAAGTTAGTGGACGAGTAATGCTCAGGAGTCCCATATCAGGATTAAACTACTGGTCAACGTCTCCTGGTTTTCTATGATGGTCTAGCTAAGATCAGTTCGTTACCTAAACTACTAAAAAAATAATTCCAGTGGCGCATATGTATACCTTTGGTCCGGAACTTCCCTATCCGACTGGATAATTTATTTAGTATGTTTAATTTCATTTGCTGTCTTTTTTAATTAAAGTCTTTTATGTAATTTTATTTCTAGGTATTTGAAACTCCTGTTCGTACTAATCAAATACCACGACAAATACCTTATCAAAGTTTCTATAGTAGACCGTTGACGGCATTTTTCATTGGTGGATTATTGCCGTTCAGTTGTATATTCATTCAATTATTTTTTATATTCAATAGCATATGGGGAGCACAATTTTACTATATGTTTGGTTTTCTATTCTTGGTTTTCATTATGCTGGTCATTACAATATCTGAGACATCTATACTAATGTGTTATTTTCAACTGTGTGGAGAGGTGGGTTTCTTGTTTATTTCACCACTAATTATTCAATATTTTTGTTTTTTTCTTGGGAGAATATATATATATATATTCATACCGCACTTCTATTTTCTGCGGTGTACTAGCTAGTAGAAGTAGTTTTTGGGAGTTCAGTGTTGATGGAGTCCCAAAAAATTTCTCGTCAAGGTCCCCAAAGCTTAGAAACCTCAGGAAACATTTTATTGAATCGGCGTTGAATAGAATTTTTGCAGAAACACCTAAAAAATACAGAATCACGTACCACAGGTTTGATAAGATATTTACGTATGCTATTACTATGTTTAGTATGGTTCCGGAAATTTCTAGTAGTGCAATATCAGGTGCAGTACTACAAACACCCTCGTTTTTCTTTACATAAACTAACCTTGGAGTAAAGCTTTCATTCGCATTTCGCGTCTTCTTTCTAGTGTTACGGTAGAAGTAGCTGAGGATATCAAAACGATAAACAATACAATTATCAATTATTACACAAGCTGCGTTATAAAAGGAAATAATATTGTCAAGTGTTTAGTTATCAATCATTTTTTGATGATTCGATTTGATTTTAGCGCATTGTTTTTTTTGATCGACAGTTTAATTGAATAGACACTAATTCAAGATTATCTAAGCCTTGTAAACTAACACACTCTTAAGTAATTACTGGGTTGTTCCCACAGTTTTTCTTATCTGTTGTGATTTTTGTAATTTTGAACTACATGCTGTTTCTAGTTGAAACATGTACAATGGATGTTCTTATAGGCTTTTGTGTACTTCATGTGGTGAGAGAGTGAATGTATACCAGAACCATCAGTACTTTAGAACATCAAGATTTCTATTTGACCATATTGTAGTATTTTTCAAAGTCGTCTTATGTCTTAGTGGTCAACATACTAGTCATCGTAAGTTAATAAATGTATGCAAATTAGTTACACCTACTATTACAACTGAACAATGATTTCCGATTTAGATTTGAGTCCCTACTGCATTTGATAAACACAAAAATTTGGTCCAATTCATCAATCATATCACTAAGAAAACCGATGTCAGTAAAAGTTAATTAAGTTGATTACACATTGATTAACAGTATTGAAAGAATTATGGATAAGATATTTCGGAAACCAGTTTATTTGGTCAAGTACCGCAGAAACTAACTGAATTGCCATGCTCATCTTAATAAGTATTGGTCTTAAAAACAGTTTTGTTTAGATATCGAAATTGGGTTATTTGAAAGGAATTGTCACTTCAAAGTAAATCGATTGTTCTAAAAGTGCGTGGTATATGTAATAATCTTTGAGGTATGAGTCTGCTACCAATAACTTCCAAAATACTGACTACCTTTAGATTGAAAGAATTGTACAAACCACATAAAAGACACTGACTTGATAGTATTATCCTTTCGTTTTTACATCCTATATTTTTTACTGTTCATCATTTGAAGTAAGCTTTTTATAAATCATAAATAATTGACATAGATTATTCATGTTCGTATTGAGGATGACGAAATTCAACTAACTCAATCAATGACTAATATTTTTATTTATTTTAATACTGAATCTTAGTGGTTCTATCATTTCAGTATTAAATTCGACTCTTAGCGATACGGAGGGAGTACGAATCTTCGATTGTTAAATAATCCTGATTGCATGATATGTGTTGTCCAGCGATATGTTGTGTCCGAGTAGTGAATGGCTGTTTACGAGAATAAACGTTTGACATAAATCCCCGAATAATTCGAGTTAAAATATATAGCCATCTGTCAAAAGAAAAAGTTTTATGTTGTCAAACAACATACAAATTTATATAACAAAATAAAAATGATCAATTGTCACAGGCGATCGGATGAAATCACTTTTGCAGATCATTCACTCACTGTCCAATGAACCATGTCCAAACCAGCCGGTCATATCATTTAGGTGTACAATTCGTTTTCTCTCTGGTTTATCAATATCATTAAACATAAATATATGAAAAGAAAATTGTTTATCAAAATTGAAATTTGTTGTTGTATTCCGTTATAGGATTATCGCTGGTGGTGGCGTTCACTATATACAGGAGCTGGAACATCATTCTATTTATTTGTTTATTCCATTCATTATTTTGTGACACGTTTAGAATTTCAAGATGCAGTCTCGGCATTCCTTTATTTCGGTTATACAGCCATCATTTTATGGCTTAACTTTTTATTTACCAGTAAGCAAGTTGATCTTATCATATAATACGTACTTATTATCGAATACCTTTTTTATTTAAATGGCTCCCAGTTTTTATTTCGATCTGATGTAAGCTGGTACGATCGATGATCAACATGTTCTCGAAGCATGCACTGTTAACTGAAAGTGCGGTCGCTCAAGGAAATCTGTATCTTGATGTACAGTGTATATTGTAATTTACAAAATATTTCTAATGGTCAGTCCATCCATGAAATAAAACTCCTAGTCGTGTATCAACACTCCCGCCCTCGGTTAAGAAATGTAAATTCAAGAGCTCGTATCATTTTTATATAGTACCTCAGGTTTGATAAATTAGACTATTATACATAGTGTTGCTCACGTGAGCTTAGTTTACATTATTTTGACTTATCATCATAATATAGCCATCGATTTCTTTGTTAGTTATCATTGAACCAAGTTGTTTCCTGTGATAATCATAATAGCAATTTTTCGTGGTTGTTTTGTCCCACGTGTTCCCACATCAAACTCATTGATTACATGGTTTTTGAATGAATTACTATTGTGTATTAAAGAGTTGACTGGATATCCTTATTCAGCAGTCTATGTCCCACGAGGGGTAATTAAATGTTAGATATAAAATTAGGACTGTGTATTCACAAGAATGTAGTCTTATCACCGAGTTACTTGCTTTATCCAACAACTCATTTTGGTCCCGTATTCCAGTATGTGATACTGCTGGTTGTTAACTTAGAGTTTGTTTTTCATACTATACGGTTGTGAAGCTTAGTGGTTCAGTGATTGAAACAGTTGTGCTTTAACCATTAGGCCACTTGTTTAACACTTACTTCATTTGGACAGTCGGATATCCTTTATGTAAAGTCGATTACATCACAGCCCATAATTGATTAGAAGTTGCACTTAGATTTCAATGAGACTTTAGCAAGGGGGATATAAACACTTGTTATTGACTATTATTCCCCCATTTTTCTATTCTTAGATTATATCGGTTACCAATTATCAGTATTTATAGTGGCTGAATTTTATATGCTGTTCTACAACATTCTAAAAATATTTACTCTTGTTATTATCTTCGTCAGGTTCTATTGGCTTTTACGCGTGTTTCTGGTTTGTTCGAAAAATTTACGGAGTTGTAAAAGTCGACTAAAATGGTGAACTAGTGTGAAAAAGCCCCTGAAAAACAATTTTTTCATTGGAGAATGAAAAGAAAGACATATCTTTTGTTAACAAATCAAACATTATGCGATATATTGTACCGCCGGTTGTTTTTTTAGGAACAATGTTCATTTCTTTTTTTCATGTTTTTGTATATTTTCATTCCTGCATTGTATGATTGTTACACATTGTTACTATCATTACTATCACCGTTTATTATGATTGTGTTTGTGCTTATGTTCCTTATTTAAGCACCCATACACATTAATGCATCGACTATATAGATATAGCACATTCACTGTTTCTTTCTTGGTTCTTTCGTCATATATTCTGAGGCAAAAATCGTACGTCTTATAATAAACACTATACATTTCTATATTTTTAAGTTATTTTGTTCATACTAATCGAGTTAACAATCGTGGTGATTTATATCACCCTCTGTGATACATATACATAATACATTGCACGAAAGTAATTATTATTTAATTCTTTAACAAGTTCATTCTTAGCTACCTTACTTGGGGCTGTATGTTGCCTAGTGTGGGAGCAGACTGAAAGATAGTTTGGGGTATAGTCAAACCAAGGTTTCGAACCAGTCCATGAAGTTATTGACTATTTTACTGAGCTATGTAGTTAAATGCAAACTATCTGGTTGGAGTTCATGGGACTATGGTAACCAGTGGTTAATGATGTGGCCCAGAATCGTCCACAATTGCCCAGGCACACTAATTATTTGTCTACTCTTATTTCCGGAATCCTGAATTTTTCTCTATACCTTTTTGTTTCTTTTCTTTTCGAACTTCCAATCTTCTCTATTACTACTATTACATCACTTCTACTACTCTGAGATTTGTCTGGGTTTCTGTCTTGCAATGCTAATATTAGTGTGGCATGAATCAACACTCATGTGTCAAGTTGTAAAATGTATATGACTGACTGACGCAATAATGTTTATCCGCGCTTGCTTCTACGTTTGTAGGTTGTTGGAATTTCTTGTTGTATCACGTTATACTACTGTTTACTTGATTTACGGAGGAATAAACTATATACGCTCAAACAAATGGAATACACCGGTCATTTAAGTCATTGGGTGTTCGACTGAACTTTGTTGTTTAGGGTAGACTTCTTGGATAGGATCTCCGTGATGATAATCGTCTATGATTGGGGAAGTTGGCTATGATAATCTAAGACGTATCTCATTTATTTTCTGATTTCTAAATCTTGAGTTTAAAGTTAGTACTTCAATATCATCCGATACTGTAACAGTATGTTAATGTTTTATGTCTAGCTTCTCGTCACATTTGATATCATTTATCCTGCTGTTTCGTATCGTGTTGCTTTTTTTGCTGTAATGATTTGGAGTGTAGCGACTGGTCCATTACTCTTGGCTGACTATTTCTTAGGAATCAATCTTTGGGCCACTAAGTCCTAGGTTCGAATTCCCTTCTATTTCAATTTAAACAACCAGGTAGTATGATTACCCGTCCTATTTACAGTATGGTTCATACTTAATTAGTCAATACGCTATTATTATATCCTGTAATCATGTCAAGTTGGTGGGACAAGTATAGTGTAGGAACGAGCTTATAAAAACTCCGACGAATACCCGATTACTTTCTAGACAATTAGAGAACAAATTTTGTAAGTAAAGTTTATGGAAGTAAAATAGTAATATTACCATGTGCAAAGAGATTTGACATAATAAATCTGTTAATGTCCTCTACAGGTTACTCTGAAAAATGTATAAACTCGTCTTGATGGGCATAGATTGTTCATATTCTCGAACCTTTAAATGGTCAAACAAATTTCCAAGGGTCCCAAAATAGTTCTTGGTTAGGGCTGCGGTTTTCATCACGAATAGACATCACTTACAAAATAGAAATTTGTTGTAGCCACATGGACGGATCAAGTTCGCTCAAAAATACAAGAAGCACTCTGATTAGTTCTTTCATAAAGCGTAGTGCCACTAGGTTAAGGATTGTTTCAGGATCAAGGATTTAGAATAAGAATTTATAGATAGTGTCCATTTGCCAGCATTATGGATTTGAGAAATTTAATATCATGATTTTCACTCTGATTGTAAAAAATAATTTTTCGCTTAAATTTTAAAAGTTTTGTCCAGTATATGATGGTATTTCTAGTTCCAGTTATAAGTGATATCAGAGTTTCTCACAAAAACCTTTAAGTCGCATTATTGATTCTGATTGGATACCACACAAATAACGATTTTTGTCAATCCAACTATGAATTATGAATTTATTGTTCGATTCATTTTGTTCTATGATAATAATTAAATAAGCACACTGTTATGATTATCATTAACAGAAAATATTCTGTGTACATTATGATCTGAAAGAGTACATATTTTGGAATTAGTGTCTTTGTGTTGTTGATATTCGGTAAGCAGATTACACGAATAAAAACATAAGTGGTAACTGAAATACTACTAAATACAATATTTATTTAAATAATTATTAAAACTGTATTTTATTGATGACTATCAATTATGCGGTTGGCAACATTGAATGAAAACAAATCCACATCATTGAGTGACTGAAGTTCACAACGGAAAAGAGTGAAATCCGAAAAAAATAAATTGATGATATAATATTTTTTTGAGGAATCTGAAGGTTACCTGTTTAAGCTTGTTTGACTCAGTTGAATGCCAATTTAAGTTGTGAATGTAGTTTTATCTAAGTGATTTCACTGGGTTTTGACTTATGGTAGTTTTCTTCTAGTTTCTACATTGTAGACTGCTCATTTCTGAACACAAGTTAGCCATGAAGACGTGAACTACATATTAATATCATGAATTTACTAAAGTATAGTCTTCAAATTCACGAACCGATTTATTTTAACTGCCAAGCTATTCAATATGACCAGTAGGGGGTTTAGATGTAATATAATCATTCCATTACCAGCTCCACCACCTTAAAATTACAAATTATCTGTTTGTACAATACATATGAGATTTTCTGACGTTTCGTGACTCAGTTTAAGCCACTTCTTGAGAGAATAAATGAAAATAAACAAAAATTTGTACGTACACATAAATTTACATACATGTTGCTTATAAATCATCTTGACCGAAATGACATGATAATGACTTGTTCAGAGCAGTTTTTTATTGATCGCACATAATATTTTTGCGTTGTTCCTTTGAACTGTTAAAACGTGGAATAATTTTGACTTGGTTATTTATTCTCTGAAGAAATGGCTCACACTGAATCACGAAACGTCGGAAAATCTAATTTTTTTACTCATTGGGACATTACAAATAAATATCATCTTATTTACAACGATCTACCCAATGCTCAATTTGTTCGAAATCATCAAGCCAAACTTTGATAATATCTACCTATCTATCTTTCAAGAGAGGTTTTCTATGGAGAATGAGTCGTTATAATAGTGAATATCGCTGTATTGTAGAAAAAAAGAAGCAAACGAATGCAGATAAAATTATATGGCCATTTCACGTCATCTGGTTCATTAATATATCAGGATTTTTAAGGTAATAATAACAACTATCGGGGGATAAGTCTACTTCCGATTGCGTCCAAGCTATTGGCTTCCGTCATTCTTTGTAGGTTGTTCGAAACCCGAGAAAGATTGACTCGCGAGGACCAGGCTGTGCTTCGTTCTGGTCGAGGATGTATTGATCATATCTTCACCCTCCGCCAAATGTTAGAACACCGCCATACTTATCAAAGGCCAACAATCGTAGTGTTTCTTGACATCAGGGCTGCCCTCGATTCATTGGACAGGGCTGTTCTCTGGGATTGTCTATTGAAGAAGGGTGTGCCTGAGAAGTTTATTAACATCCTAAAAGCCCTATATAAAAACACCTCAGGCAGAATGAGGGCATACAACCACCTTTCTCCATTGTTCCATTCCAGCAGTGGGGTTAGGCAGAGTTGCCCAATCTAACCATTCCTCTTCAACTTTGCCATCGATGACATTCTGGAAACAGCTTTATTGGATGTAAGTAAAGGTGGTGTGGATCTGTTGACTGTAGAAAGACTTCTCGACCTTGAGTATGCGGATGATATTGTCTCACTGTGCGATAATGCCCAAACCATGCAATCCGCACTTAATCAGTTGGCAATCAATGTCCGTAGGTACGGTATGTGCTTTGCACCTTCGAAGTGCAAAGTACTTCTACAAGACTGGCAGGATTCTAATCCTGTACTCACCCTGGATGGTGAGCAGATAAAAGCAGTTGAGAAGTTCGTATACCTGGGTAGCTGCATAAGTGCTGGTGATGGCGTGAGTGGTAAGATCAATGCACGTATAGTGAAAGCCAGAGCGGTTTATGCCAATCTGGGCCACCTTTGGCGCCTTCGTGATGTCAGTCTTGCTGTAAAAGGTCGGATCTACAAGGCGTTGGTGATAACAGTTTTGCTCTATGCTTGTGAAACCTGACCTCTCCGAGTTGAGGACTTTAGACGACTCTCTGTGTTCGATCATCGCTGTCTCCGAAGGATTGCTGACATTCAGTGGCAACACCATGTCAGTAATGCAGAGGTTCGGCATCGTGTGTTCGGGCACAGAGACGATAATGCAATTGGTGTTACCATCTTAAAACATCGACTTTGGTGGCTTGGACATGTTCTCCGAATGTCGTCCCAGAGAATTCCACGTCGTGCATTATTTGCCGACTCTGGGACTGGTTGGAAGAAGCGGAGAGGTGGTCAGTGCATGACATGGTGTCGTGATGTGAAAGAAAGCTGCAAAGGACTGGCTTGTGTTGGTCCTTCACGACTCCCTGTTTGGGGTCTGAGAGATGGTGCAACACAGTGGCTAGAGACGTTATCAGATATGGCTCAGAATAGAATCCAGTGGCAATCCTGCTGTAATCTTCTTTTACTTTCTTCATAAAAAGTGGTTGTGTCTTCCTTAACTGAAAGATTTCTTCCGATTGTACCTTGCGTTCCCTCATTACTACCACACTACCTTTCACCAATCTCTTCGTTATTGTTCTCTTTTTTTTCTATTTCTCTTCGAATTCTCCTTGTTTTGTGTGGCGCTCTCTTGTACCAATATTTATGTGTTCAAATAATAATAATAATAAAAGGTAATAATATTATTTGTTGCGATGGTAACACCAAGAAGTTTATAATAAGATTGACTTTGGTCAACTGTTACAAAGTAATAATGTTAATCATTTAATTCTGATTCGGTGACCCAATTGTAGTTTTCTGGCTATGAAACTAGGAGAATATAAATATGTAAGGAGTGAAATATTTGCCATCAATATAGGTGAATGATACTTGAAATTATGTCACTGGACGCCGACGCCATGGTTCTAATGGTGAATCGTTAGCTACGAAACTTGAAGGTAGTGGATTCAATTCCTGGTAGGGTCGCGTTTGGCTACTACTGACGAGTCACAGGCTATAATGAAACAGTTACACAAGGTTCCCTGATCTTCATAAATAACCCAACTGAGATCAATCTATGGTGAATATAACATACATATTAGTTGGGTGTT